ACCAGATTCTAACCAGCCTCTGTCTTCTCTGCTCACAGGAAAGCCCGACTGAAGTCTGTAGCTCTGGAGGAGCTTTGCTTGGAAACCTGCCTGCCTGCCCAAGGAAGCCAAACCTGAAGACAATCAGTCTGGATTCCCCAGCCAGCTCTCAAGGGAGAGCTAGGAATCCAACTCAAGGTCTGAACCACATTAGTCTAAAGCTAGACGCTGCTGCTGAGCTCTCTGCTGAACCCACCGTCTCTGGACCCAACCGGTTCCCTCTCTCCATCGATCAGTCTGACCCTCATTAAGGTACAAACCAGAATCAAACCCCTGACAAGTCATCACCGCTGCCTGGCTAACCAAACTATCTATCTCTGCAGATACTCAGTGATTCCAGTCCCAGACCTGTACCAGAACCAGCTCATTATCATTCTTGTGTGTTTCTCAATAATAAACTGTTTAACTTTTACTCCGTTTCCTGTGGTGTTCTGCATGTGGGTTTAAACACTAGAAACCCATCATGACAGAATGTTTATAACAGTTTTACAAGCCTGTTTTGTCAATCTATTTGGTTGATTTGATCCTTTAAATAATATTACTGAATGTCACCTTAGGTTCAATGTTATTTCTTTAGTTTTAGCCTCTAGACATCCCTATGCATCTCACCTAACTGTGTAAAAATTGCTCTAAAATAATGATTGATTTGATAGTTTCATTGTTTAATGATTGATTATATTAATCTATTTGTTGTTTTTTTTATTCGACCCCCTCAGAACCATTAAGTAGCAACACAGTGGGTAAAGCAAGAGGATCTGTTTAGGAAAGTTGTGGTTTCTTTCGACATCCAGATTCAGACATATCTAATACATTAACAACAAGCTATCATCTGTTGTGAAGAAAACAGTTTCATTTATGATATTGAAGATAAAAAGGCAAATATTTAAACTTGTGAGACTTTAACTTTGTCTTTGTTATATAGTCTCCCTCCCTGAGCGGATCCATTTGTTTTCTCTAAATGCTTTCATTCTCCAATCCTTCCTCAGTATATAAGCTCATTGGACACTCCTTTTTCACTGCTGGCTTCTTCTATTGAACTGCCATTATTCCATTATTGTTTCCTCCACACTAGTCCAGTGTCCCTTTCCTTTTATGTCATTGTGTTAGTCCTGTTGATTCTATTATAAAAAAATATTCACTTCATCTTCTTCTGGCTCAGCCTGGCTCCCTCTGCACACCACTCCTTACATTTGGACCATTAATTCAAGTGCAGAGGGCGCTCTATCCACAGGAACACTTGGATGGCTCCTCTTTAAGACTGACCATCGGGGAGGAAGCTCATATCAAATGAGCGTGTTTTAGGATTTTATTCTCTCATACACGATTATTTGCTCATCAATATAGGTGAAACTTGGAATTTCAATGGATTAGTAATTTAAGAGCTTTCCTTTTTGGGCTCTGCTTTTTCTTCACCAGAATTCACAATGGCAGTGCCTGTCTTTCAGCAGTTAAAATGTCCGCACTGCAAAAAATGAAATCTAAATAAGTCATTTTTTCCTTGAATTGAGGAGATAAGTGAGACAATTTGCCTATGGAACAAGACAATTTACATGTAAAATAAAAAAACAAAACAACTGCATGGTCTTATTTCAAGGGCATATTATTATTTAGAATAATTATCTTATTCCAAGAATAAAAATATTCATTCCACTGGCAAATCATCTTATTTATCTGCTAAAATTAAGGGTAAATACACTTAATTTAAGAAATATTATATACTTATTTCTAGATTGTTTTTTTTGTCTCCTCCTACATATGTGAACAAGACTTGAAGGTACATGAACATCTCTCCTCAAGGCAGAAAGTGCTCCCCAGAATGGAGGGAGGTCTGAGGTCAGCTTCGGCCAGCTTCAATGCATGCTGATGGCCTGAGGGTGGCATCAGAGCCATGTCCTCTGCAAAGAGCACATCTGAGATATTAAGTTCTTCAAAATAGAGACTCCCCTCTCTAAATGTCTCTGGCCTGTCAATAAAAAAAAAGTATGTCAAGGATAAGCTTCACAGTTTTTCAATGAGAATAGGGACATATGTCCTGCATTGCTTAAATAAGGTTAGCAGCATCCTTGCAACCAAATTCAGGAAACACAGCTGAAAGCCTTCTTCAGATCCAAAAAACACATGTAGACCGGACTAAACTGCACTGACCCGCTAGCAAGTTCCACAAGAGCAATAATCTGGTCTCCCCCTAAATCTGGGGGTTAAGATTCAGTCTACTTTTCAAAACCTTGGAGTAACTGCTACTAGGGAGGCTATTCAAGTTGTTTATCAATATCTAGTATACAGCATCAGGGTCCATCATGTGCCACTATTTTGATCTTTACAATCTCAGATCAAATCTTGTCCACTCTGCCTACATGCCTCAGCAATCTCTACCTGTGTTTTATACAAAGAAGTGCCTGCTATGAGGCTATGTATTAAAAGGTTGATGCTTTCCAAGCCCAGCGCCTACCAATTCAATTTCATCTTTAAATACAAAATTGCTGTAAATGGACAGAGACTCAATATTAAAAACGTGAGGGCTGAAGGTCTTATTCTCTGCCATATTTTGATTTAAAAAGTACGAGAAAAGAGATTTTTTATGGATTAACTGTTAAATAATTTTATTATTTGGATAATTCCTAATTGGCTTTGCCTCTCTTGAAAATAGTCTGAAAACAGGCATTGATTAACATCAAAAATGTCATTATTGAAACTTAAGTCTATAGTAATTAAAAAAAACATCTGCAAAAAAAAGATGGTCTAGTTTAAAACCAGATTATTTTTACTCTGTTTTCTGTCTGTTAAATCAACAAACCAAGCAGGAAGTTAGAGGAGCTGAGCTTGTTGCACAGAAATAACCAGTTGGTGTCACTCCTCACTTAAATAAAAGAGCCAGTTCACCTCGTTGTTGAACAAAGTCTGATGTTTAGTAAAACACAAGGACTCAGCTCTGTTTGGACTGTATTGATTATGTTTCTGTAATCTTATCAGAAACCTTCAGCTTTATCCTGAAGCTCAATAAAGGCTCTTCCAGCCTAATGCGGATATTGCAGATCTGTTTTTTATTTCAGAGAAACAAATTCCATATGGTCACTACATGCAATGCCATACCTGAAGCCCAGAGAAAGTATTAAAATAGTTTCACTATTTCCACCAAATAAACTGTAAAAATAAGCGATTTTCATATTTAATTGAATCAACTGAATTGTTTACGGTAATTGAATTAATGTTCTATTTTACAGCATTTAGCAAAAAAGGTACAAATAAAGAATATTTCAGTCCTATTCTGAAGTTTCAATGACTAATTTAATTTGGCTTTTGCTGTAATAGTTTCGAATGAAACTGAGTATTGCCAGAGTTTTAAGAAGACTGAAAATATTCTTGGAATGGCATTTGTTGCTCTTTTGGTTGACCTTATGGCACAAGCCACAGGCAGGTGACAGAAATACCTGACAATAGCAGGAAGACACTGACAATTAAACAGAGAAAGGCAGAGAGGGAGGAAGAATGCTCTCCATGTGCGCGTGAATCAGAGGACGGCTAAAGCCACACAGAATGACAGAAGGAAACCAAACTTGTTTTTCTTGTTCTAACACGTCTAAAGAGGGTAGGACATACTTCTGTAAACAGCCAAAACTCCGTACGCATACAGGTAAGCTGGAGGATTGGTGACAGAGGCTTGGACTTGAAGACGCACGTCTCAGCAGAAGGTACAGTCCTGAATCTTAACATCATCCGTATTGTTTTTTTTGAGACGAAGATACAGAAGAATACAAAGCTATTGAGAATTGAATATGAGGATGCACCTGTCGAATGACTGTCCGTCTGGTCTGTCTTGCAAAACAGCTTTTGACTTTAAAATGCTTTTTTTTTCATACAATTTCTTTTTTGTGTGTATTTCCTAAATCATAATATTCCAATAAAAGTTCAGCAAAAGTGGGAAGGAAAGATGGAGAGAGGCAAAGTGACAGCGTTATACCACAAGTCTTTTTTTCATTCAGTGGGTGAAGTTTCGATGATAGTTGTGTCATCTGCATACCTCCTGGTCGTGGTGGTTTTTCCTGACCAGATTTTTTTTTTTTTTTTTTTTATAAATGTCAACCATGATTACCAGGAGAAAACCTTTTCAACAGAGCTTCTTTTTTTATCAGTCATATAAAATAAGGTGGTCAACCACACATTTTTATTGTTTTACTAAAAGTTTTCATAGTTTAACATTTTAGACACCAAAGAATTTGTTAAAAAGTAAAACAAAGGAATCAAATATTACTTTGAAAGCGGATGTATGCTTGATTCTGCTGTCTGTAATAAATAAACTATCAGCTAATTGTGCAGAACCAGATTTAAGGGTTACACATTTTTTGAAAAATATGTGTTTCATCTGCTCAAATAAAACTATTTTATTATATGAATAGATTTTTTTTTTTTTTCAAAAAAAGAAAAATGTATTTCTTTTCTTTTAGGCCTATTACATGGAGGGGATTCAGTCATTTTTACATTAAATGTCCAATCCTGTGCTGAAGCCTATTTATCACAGCAGCACTGGTTTGGCCTTTTTTTTTTTTTTTTTTTAAATGATTATCTTTAGCTAGATCAAAGTCTGCTTGTCAAGGAGAAAAGTCTTCAAAAATAAGTCTTTCCAGGAAACTTCAAGGACCTTCGGCAGTTTGGGAATTTAATCAGCAATGTTGTTGACATCTAAAGGGAAACACAAAGGATCTTAAATTAAAACATCATCTGTTTTTAATGGCATTGTGTCTCAAACTGAATTTCTTAAAAGAAGCCCTCCTTTTATCAGGGTGCATAGTGGTGCATTTATTAGTTATCTAAACCTATGAGTGTCATACTTACTTCAACCATGTTTTACACTTAGGTCAGCATCCCCAAATACTATGCCACTCCAAAGTGCCAGTAGCATTCATTCATCTATCCACCCATCCATTTTCTGTCATGCTTATGCCTGATGGGGTTGCAAGGGGTGCTGGTGTCTATCTTCAGAAGTCTATGGGTGAGAGGCGGAGTAAACCCTCGACAGGTCGCCATTCTGTCACAGGGCAGCCAATAGCATTCAGTTATTTTTGAAATAGGGGGGTCTGAGCCAGTTTTCCACCTGTCATCGACTGTGCATGCAGTCTTAGTAGATCACTATCAACACGCCTACTAACTGCACATGCATTTTTTACTCTTTTCTTCTTACTCATAATCCTGGAAGAACAGGGACTTTGTGTGGTTATGTTTTGGAGGGTGAGACAGAAAATTGCTTGGCATGTAGAGTGCACAGAATGATATACAGAGACCAATTATAGAGATTAAAGTTCCCTAAGATGCCACCATTTCTTGATTTGTTGCAGAGGTGTGAAGTACTTCGTTGCTGTACTTAAGTACACTTATTAGGTATCTAAATTTTACTCCATTACTTATTTTTCTTCCTACTTCTGACTTTGAATACATTTTCACACAAGTATCTTTACTTTCTATTCCTTACATTTTTAAAGCAAACGTTACTCGTTACTCTTGGCTTCGGTTTAATGTTAATAAATATTTATTTCACATCATATGCGCCATCCAATGCAGATCATTGGCGCCATCCACATCTAGTGAAAACTAGTGTAATTGGATGAGTCATATCACGCAAACACTCATTGGTTAGCTAAAGGAAATCTTCAGAAGCAAGCAGGTGTTATTTAAACTGAAAATGTGAATTGTCTATGCCATGCTACATTGTTGGATTCAGAAAAAGATGTCGAAATGTCTAAAAGGTTGAACACAAGTGAGAGAGTACCGATTGAGATGGAGACCAATAAGAGACCAATAAGAGACCAATTTGGCCTTATACCAAATAATTTTTCGAAATAGTCGAAAAACTGAGCTTTCACTTTATATGGTGGCATCTGGTTGTTTTTTTTAAAGGTTACTTTATACTTTTATACTTTAAGTAGTTTTTGGAGCACATACTTTTTCACTTTTACTTGACTAAAGAGGTCAAGTTGATACTTCAACTTTTACCAGAGTGTTTTTAAAATGCAGCATCTATACTTCTACTTACGTAACAGATGTGTGTACACCATTAGTATCTTGGGGTAACTACGTCTCACTTATGAATTCCTAACCACTGTGTACATTTTTGAGTCCTTTCACCGGTTTATATTTATTTACACTGATTATTATTTTCTAACAGATTTCTTACACCCTACTAAAGAGAAATACTATGAAACGTTCAGTTTATTGTCAACTGTCATTGGTATATTGGTGCTGCAATAAAGGATTTATTTACATTAAGGTTTTTCACTCAGCTTTACAAGAGAAGCCAGCTACTGTTGCTAGTCAGTTCTTTTCGTTTGTTTTTGACTCTACTTTTATCCCTTTTTAGAAATGGCTACGTCACCTCCTCAAGTGATCCCAAGAAAGCCTTCAGCTCTCAGACCTCTGACTTCACTTAGAGAGCAGCCTCCTCCAGGTGGGCTGCCCATCGTCACAGAAGCTGACAAAGGTATTTATGCTCAAATAGACAGTTTATACAGTTTTTTTCTTTCTCTGCATGGGTTGATTTGCAGTATCTAGTATATTCCACACTTTGGGGGAAGTCTATCTATCAAAGCCTATCAGTTGTTGCATAAATGTCACTGTTTTTTAGTTCCCTCAGAGAATGGAGCCAACGGGAAGTCAAACCATTTAAAACTGATGACTGCAGAGAGAGAAGTTGTGAGTCCTGCTAAAACTCTGTTTCTGTTGCGTTGTCAGTTAACCATATTACAAACCATAGATTTTTTTTTATCAAAAATGGGAAACAAAGTAATACAGAAGCAAAGATGGATCTGAGTTAGCCTATACTAAAACATTTCTGCTTATGAGTAGGTGCTGATACACTATAGGCAAGGTAAGTAGCTACCTGCGGCCCCCTAATAGTGAAGGACTCCATTAACAAGGGGCCCCACTGGTTGCCCACCACCCTTACTGCTTTACTGTACCACATTTTGTATTACGCACATCTGGGTGCACACCTGTTGATTGACAGCTCCCTCTAGACAAATATGCTAATTTGGCTCATTTTACAGCAGAATCTGGTTTCCAGTGCAATATTTGTGGTAGCTCTAAATATAAATAGGGCATAATGGAATTTGAGGCTAACTTCGAGGAGGGGCCCTTCACAAAAGTTTGTCTGGGGCTCCAAAATGTCTCATTCTACCACTTCCTCTGGATTAGAAAGTTAGGTAGCAGTGTCTTCAAAGCTGAAGGCGAACTATTTTATGGGCTAGAGTCCCATCTTCCGATATATTTAGCCTATCATTTTACAAATTATTAGTAATAATTACTTATTTTTATAATTGTTTTATCTGTTACTTGTCTAATATTTTTAAGGAAATCTTGAATCGCTGCTTCGAAGACATGGAAAAGTTCATGACTCGCTTGCAACAGACTGCAGAAGCCCAGAGCGTTCTCAACCAAAGGACCAAAAAGAATGGCAAGAAAAACTCCAAAAATGCAAAACAAGGAGGTAAGCAGGAACTATTAACTTTGTTGGCAGCAAAGCAGGAAAAGCTTAACTGAAACCATGTTTTTGGGAAACATCTACAGTATTAACTCAACATGGCTTTTGGTTATTACTTCAGGACTTGATTCATTGAGGCTGTAGATCAGTAAGCACAGTTTTAGATACTAAAATGAGCCAACAGGCAGATTGCTGAAAAACGCTCTCAGATTATTCAGAAAATTCTTGCATTTGTTGTGACGCTGCTCCTTTTGTCTTGAAGGCAGACCAAAGCAATCTTAGAGGGCAGTTTAATGACTTGGGATGGTCAACCTGTAATTCTGCTCACATTATCCCATTAATCACTCACCTGATGATTTTTTTTTGCTCTGTAACACACCTACATTCACTCCCTAAATCATTATCCATTGTTTCTGGTTTAATAGACCTATTTTCAGAACTTAACGTGTAGAACGCTTGTTATAGTAATTAATGCAATGATACAGGGCTTAGGAATTAAAAAAAAAGTTTAAAGTCATGGTGAGGTTTCCCTTCATTCTTTTTTCATGACGGAACAGCTTGAATCAGAGAAATGCCACACCTGGTAAAACAGGGAATTCAGCCCTTATAATAAAGTTCTTATGGAGATCTGATGTCTCCAACAGATGATCTATACTGTAGTTTTCGCGCCGCATGCCT